TCTGCCATACTAACTAGTTCATTCCAGAGCACGGCCTCATGGAATTACCGTATTTTTTCAGCAAATGTCCAAAGAAAATTTGGCAGAGGTGCAACCGCATGTATCTTCAAAATAAGCACATGCGTTATTGTTAATATCCTTAATTTTGAACTTCAGACTGCGGAGTGCGGACTCCCTCATTTTGCCGCAGACTCCCTCTTTGTGAGAACAGGGAGTCCAGTCCGTTGGACTCCCTTGCTCAAAGGTTAATTTTTACCCCTGCATTGTAATATTAATCCACATTTCAACTTTATACAGTTACTTATAAATATAAAATAGTTTTCACAAATCAAAATTGCCTGCTAATTCCTTAGTATTAAACCTAAATCTATGACCAGAAAAGTCACAAACGTAACCTTGACGTTTTCTTCCACCATGATAAGCCTCTTGTGAGTAGCAGGATCAGGCTTTACAAGCTGTATTGGTGTGTCTGGGAAACCCGATCCATGCCAGGGATTCAATTGCTCATCATACTCGTGTGGTAGTATCCCCCTTTCAACATTTCTTGTGCCATAGTTATCAGCTTGATTTTCAACGTCTTCTGAAATAACAATTAATACACCTATTGCATTGTAAGCCAGCGCAAGGACAGCTTCTAATTTCAGACATCTTTCTCTCTTTCTCTATTGCTGATAATCAACAGATACTATGGCCCAAATCTACTTCAAGACCCCATTCATTTAAATACATTATAATGATCATTATCACTATAACCAGATTTTAAGGAAATCGCTTAAATTGAAAAATCATCAAAGTCCTGCAGCATTAATTATTAACAACGGCAGTGCACGAAATTAGCACTATTTTGCCGGCGGCCGCCGGTCCAACCCTCTAACCTGCCGGTTCAACCCGTCATATAAATTATTCAGTCCACTTGGCCTATTAAAAATTTGGCCTATCTTGCCTTTATATCAACAATATTTACCAATTTCCTGACTAGTTTTTACTTAGTGACCACTAAGAAGTAAATCATGTTCCAGCAATTCCTGTCAAACAAGCTAGTAGCTAAACTCCACTGATACTGATAGCAATAAAATACTGAAATACTATGAGTATGCCTAATAAACACAAAGCTAATACTTTTATTAATAATGGAATAAATTGAACACAATTAAGCAAACAGGGCCTGTTAAATTTGTCTAAAGGCCTGTTTAACATTTTGGGTGGGCCTGTTCACATTTTGGCTAATTTCATGCCCTGTGACAGTATTGGCTGCGGTGTGACTGGCTGATGATGTGCACCTGCATCTGTCTTCCTGCTTGCCAGTGGGGCTGTGTTAAACGCATTCTGCACAGTGTGTTAGCCAGAGACCCATCTACCCGTCTCCTGGACGGCCTATTCTTGGATGAGACGGATGAAATTTGATAGAGACGGCATGAGGGCGGCCCCATTTTAAATATTATACACCTTGTATAACTTTCAACAGTGCTTATACTGTTATAAGAATATAAAATCATATCAGATTCCTGCCTTTTTGGCATTTCAGACTAAATTTCCTCCATTTTAAGGTAAGGCTTTCCCCCCCCCCCCAGGGCGCTTCACACCCGCAGCATCCTCGCTTCGCTCAGATGGTGAGACTCCCGTATTTTTTGTCTTGGCTAACTCCTTGATTCTGCATGTGTGCAAAGGACGTCGGCCCGCCGCGTAACTGCCAATGCTATTTTGCGTGGAAGGGATGACTGCGTTGAAGCCGTCGTGTTGAACGCAAGCATTTAGATGTGCAGCATATCAATTGCTTCGTCTTGGGACCGCAGTGGATCTTGCGCATATTCGCCGATACTCCCTCGTGCGCCAATCTGCGCTATTTCTGAACTGAACTGAACTAATCAGTGAGATATATACAACCGTAGACAGAGCTGCGGTCGTTCTTTTATGACAACGGCCATTTTGACGTATAGCGGTACTCTGAAGATTATACGTGGGCATCTGCATCTAATGTTGCACCGTGTGGGGTTGCCTTGTTTATCGTGGTGGAGGCAGACTTCTACTGAGGCCGCAATTAAAAAAATCTTTGTTTGCCCTCACCCGACCCTGGATGAAAAGTTTGGGTAGGTAGGTAGGTAGGTTTTTTTTGAGTGGGGTCTTTTTACAAATTCAGCATGGTGTCTACATGCTCGGGTGTGCTTGTGTGGAGATACCTTTTATATTGAATGTTTGTTTTGCTTGGTACATATAATGTATTGCCTACAGATTTATATAATGTACAGTGATACAATTTGTAAAAACAAAAGAATGGAAAAGATCCAAAATTTTGCGGCGGCCCCTTTTTGGCGGGTCGGTCAGGGCAAACAAACAATATTTTTATTATGGCCTGATTGCACATACAGGTGCCGGACTACCTGAAGTTCATCAAGCGTCCGATGGATTTTCTCACGATGGAGGGTAAGGTCGATGCACTGATGTACCGCAACCTCGATGAGTTCCAGAAGGACTTTGATCTGATCGTGAACAACTGCATGGCGTACAACGCGCGCGACACCGTGTTCTACGCTACCGCACTCAGGATGAGGAACCAGGTGCGCTGCCGGGGCTCTTCGCTTTCTCTCAACTTCTGTCTCTCTCAGTCTCTGTCTCTCTCCCTCCCTCCCTCAATGTTTTTATCTCTCTCTCCCCTCTCTCTCTCTCTTTCTCTCTCCTAGCTGGTCATTAGCTGGATTGGGATAGATACAAGGCGAGACACGGGAGACAGGTTATTGTGTGCACGACGAAGTCACGTCATCATCACATCGCAATTAATTAATTAAATAAATTCAATTAATTTACCTCAATCAATTATTTTTACAGGGTAGCACTGTCATTCGACAGTGCAGGAAGGCGTTTGAGCTTATTGGCTTCGACCCGATCACAGGGCTTCATCTCAAGGAACCTCCGCAGGCCAGGGGCGCAGAGGAACACGATGGGGAAGATTGTGAGTACAGTGTGCAGACCTGCCAACTGTTACGTATTGCCCGTAATTTGTTACGGACGCGAGTCAAAATTACGGTGTTACGGACGACCTCGAAAAATTACGGACAGCAAGAAATCTCTGAAATTTATATTTTTTAATGCAAAAAAAAAGAAATAAACACAGTGTAAAATCAACTATTATCATGTAACATGACTACTGTGTCTGAAGATTTAGTCTAATAGCTCTTAAAACGTAACGGTACTCACTGAAAATGGTAAATTATGCTGTGTTATGCGCTCGTCTGTCTGGTTTATGGGCGCAGCCATTTTGAATGACGTCACGGATCCAGGAATAGTAGTACCGCACTGAAGGCTATTTTCAGCCAATCACCGTGAGAGATAAATTAGGTGCTGCGCAGTGCACTGTTCTTATGCAAAATGGCATCAAAACGCATGACAAAAAGGTGTTACTGACAAATGCCTATTTGTTACGGAAAAATCCAATAATTATTACTGATGATCATCAGATGGGGTTGGCAGGTCTGAGTGTGGCCCCCGTTATAACGCGATCGTTGAGGTCCATAAAATGTCATCGCGAAAAAGCGGGGTTCAAGAAAATCGGCGTATAAACTGACCGCTAGTCATATTATAATATCAGGAGTGAATAATAGAGAGGAGTATGACGGGCTCGAAACACAAGAATTCAACGTTTCCGTGCCCATATTTACCGATGATTGATTACGTGAAATCCAATAAAAATGACATCAGAACTAGCGCTGTGCACCCAACTTGTCCTCACACTTTACTGTGTATCGATACCTCTTCTTATTGTGTAGTTATAGCTTCGAACGTCATTGGGTGTACCGGCAAGATCGGGGGACTGTTATGCTGTGGCGGATCCGATTGCTCTTGTTACTGATGTTTAGCTTGCCGGTAGAGTTGGCTTTGTTTCCACTGACTGTTGACGGCTTCCTCACGATTGCAGTTGAGTTGATGGCAGTGGATGAGAGAGAGAAGATGCCGTTGGATAAGCAGCTTAAGTACCTGTTTGGAATGATGGATAGAGCAGAGGCCATCAAGCATGGAGGTAAGGCAATCCGGTCAATTCCTAGCCTTACTACTGACAATATTAGCCACACTTCTTTCCTTCTCTTTCTCTCTCTCTCTCTCTCTCTCTCTCGTCTCTCTTTCTCTCTCCTCTCTCTCTATCTTTATCTCTCTCTCTTCTGCTCTTTCCCTCCCCTACTTTTACCAGTTCTCTTTCCCACTCTTGATTGCTATCTCCATTCCTCTCACTGTCTATCCATCTGTCTGTCTATCTGCCTCGCTGCCTGCCCGTCCATCTTACTCGTCCGCCCCGCCTGTCTGCCTCGCTGCCTATCTCTCTGTCTGTCTGTTCGTCTGCCCGTCCGCCCCACCTGTCTGCCTCGCTGCCTATCTCTCTGTCTGTCTGTTCGTCTGCCCGTCCGCCCGCTTGTCTGCCTCGCTGCCTGTCTCTCTGTCTGTTCATCCGTCTGCCCGCCCGCCCGTCCGCTCTGTCGGTGTCTGTAACACCTGCTGTTCGTTGACAGCTGCCAGACACAAGCGCATGAAGCAACTGAAGAGGGAGATCAAGGAGGTGAGGAGGAAGGTTGCCATAAGGGACCGCCTCCGCACCTCCTCCACCGTCTCCTCCTCTGACGACAGCGACAAGGAGTGTCCAGCGCCGCCTCCGCCGCCGCCGCATCCCACCAGATCGCCGGCGCGCAAACCCGAGTCGCTGCGCAAGACGGAGATGCCGTCGCGAAAGGCCGACGCGTCGTCGTCGTCGTCGCGCAAGTCTGAGACGAGAAAAGCGGCGGACGCCGCCGCGCAGGAAGAGTGCCCCTCGCCGCGCGCCCCCTGCTGGCAAGGCGCGGGGAGAGGGAGGGGAGGCCGCCTGGGAGACCTCCGCTACGGAGGGAGAAGTCCATGAGAAGTCGGAGGGGGAGGTGGCAGCGAATCTCCGAGCGCCCGCAGAAGGCGGCGATGACACGGGTGAGTCGCTGCCGAGAGAGATGCCGAGCGTGATTCACAGAGACAAAACGCGATGCTGCGGGGCTTACTGAACATTATACGAACGATATATATATATATATCTTCTTCTTCTTCTCATGCTGTCCCTCAGTGTCAAGGATGACATTGTGTCTTGGTTAAATAGGGTCAGGGAATATATATATATATATATAATTATACGCAGATGTCACACTTTACAGACACAGTACGGTCGCTAACTCACCGTTAATTAGTAATAAGTATAATAGTATAATTAGTAGTAATAATTATAATTAGTGATATTCGCAGCGTCGTCCGCCCACAATTCGACGGATGCTCTAAGGATAAAGCGAAAGTCTCTCGTTTGTTTCGTGTTGAGTTTGCTTCTAGCCGCTCCCTTGTGAACTCAGCAGGTAAGGAGGTGGCAGTGAGCACATGCCTACCCTCTACGCCCTCACAGCCAGCAGTGGTGCAGAGAGCATCGCCACCACGCCAACCCCACCCCGGGCGTCAACCGCCGCACAGCCGTACTGTTTGGCAAGAAGTCTGGTCCAAGGAAGGTGCTCCACTTGGGACTGAACAAGCGACCTGGCCGGCCGAGGTAGGGCTAGCTCCTCTCGTCTAGTCTTCTTAGTAATAATTATGTGAAATAAGGATTAAGGCCATAATAAAAATCACAAACAAGAATGACACGCCTTGCAGGAAAAGCTGAAAATATATGAGCTCATAGCAGTTGTGTGCTACGCAAGACACGAATCGCAACACGCATCGTAAAGCGATGAAAATTTTAGCACAGATTTTGCAGTGCTAATTTGTGACATGGTAGTAATGACGGTTTAGGGGGAACGAGGAGGGGAGGGCGTTGGATTCCGTGGAGGCCACTACAGCACCTATGAGGCTAGGAGAGGTTCAGTGGCTGCGAGGGTGCATGAACAGCGTGTTGTGTTCGCAGGTTGAAGAGCAGCGAGGCGACGGTGGACTCGCCCGCCTCCACTCCCTCCCAGGCGGACGATGTCCCCAAGTGTCCGAAGCTGAGCCCAGCACCCGCCTCGCCGAAGCACCTTTACCAGCCCTGTCTCGCCGAAGTCGTTTCGAGAGCCGAAAATCGCCGAAGGCTCCCAAGTCACGAAGTTCGACGCCAAGGGCGTGACATTGCCGCAGCAGTGGCCCACCGTTCGCGTCGCCGGGGAAACCTGCAGCTCGAAAGAGAACGCGAGCGGCGGGGGAACAGCAGCAGGAGGAGGGGGAGGAGGAGGGGTTGAGAACCCTCCCCTGGCAAAGAAACCTGCCCTGCCGATGGGATTTGGTGACATTGCGACGGAGATACCGGTGATTCAAGGAA